CGCTGCACCACCCGCAGCTCCATCCACACACCCCATATCCAGTGTTAACCTGAAGGAATAAAACCGGGCGGGATGCGGATGGGAGGTAGGTCTCATCAGCGGAGCCGACCCACACTTCTTCAAAATGCACAGCAACGGCATTACATTCAGTCAGGCGTACCAGGCGTACACAATGCTGTGCTTGGACCCTAACCCGTTCCACACTGGTTGCATGGAACCACTCTTTGAGCCTAGCATCGTCACGACTATGGTGCACCCTGTCCCTTCCAGCAATGACCAACTGTCTCTTTGGAGCCGCTGTAGACGAGGTGGAAGGTAATGGACAGGTAGACACCTCGTCACCATTCACATCAAGCGCAGGCACCTCAAGCTTTTCAAGCAATACTTAACGCCTGAAATGCAAGAAAATCAGCATGCAGGCACACACACGTACAGACCGACTGCAAAGATGATGTGGCGCAGGTACCACATCAACCGCTTTATTTGACTGGGTTAGTAAATCGAATTGAAGCGGACGCAGCGTACTTACGAACGCTACGCTGATGCGGATTAAATAATCAGGTGATTCGTCCTGTTCTACGTGGCAACACTGGTAACTTCCCAGGTCCGCTTGGTTCAGGCACTCGCGACCGCATGTGCTATAGCACTATGCGCTCGTAGTCGATGGATCAGAATTCTTCGGCATCTGTCGTTTCCGTATACGGCATTTCATTTCCGCATGCAGCAGTGATTTATTCTGCATCTTGGCAACCGCCCTCTTGATATGCTCGCACCATACGCGCCGATCAACTGCCTTTGATTCTCAAAATCCGAAATCAACATTAGTTCGTGATAAACTCAATTTGATCATGTCCTGGTAACGTAACTTCGGTTTTCCCACGTGCCGCTTCCCTGCACTAAGTTTGTCCATATAGCAACCGCTTAGGTATCTGTATCCAATCCTTGCGGCTGATCATCCTAATCCATCTCGAGTGCCTCAGCAGAAGTATGCAGTCCAGTGCACACATGCCACTGCGGCACAGGACTTCCGTGTCTGCAACTCAGTAACCTCGGCCGATACATAGAATCTGTCGCAGACAGTGTTGATGAAACCGTTCCAGATATCTGACGTCCTTCTCGTACATCGTCCACGTTTCTCTGCCATACAGAAGAACGGACAGCACCATAGACTTGTATATCACATGTCACCTACTTACCTACAATTCCTCTGTATCATTCTCCCTCTCTTTCGTCTGACCTCTCATCCATGAACATCATCACGCTCTCCAATGGAACTGTCTCTATACCAGTCACAGAACCAAACCGGGATAAGACAATCCCATGCTCTCTTCTGTCCACTTCTTCAGTCCAAAACACCGTTACATTTGGGAGCGTTCAATGTGCGTACTCTGATGCTGCTCGGACAACAAGCCGGTCTCGCACGCACCCTGGAATCTCTTGCAATGGATGTCTGTATCTTATTTGGAACCCGACTTCAGGATCCCAACACGGTCTACCAACTTTTTTCACCCGTTTACCCATACACCCGTTTGCTTCTTCGCCTTTCTGGCGACACCGAGTCAACTGCAGCTGCGCAAGCTGGTTCCAGAGCCGAAGCCAGCGTTCTTGAATATGCTGTGAGACTCCAAGGCTCGTCCAAAGTTAATAGGCGTCGCGAAGGCAAGGCTCTCCTTTTCTTATCTCCACTGATTTTAGCTCGGATACAGCCAAAGACTTATACTATCAGAACCTTCAATACTTCATTCTAAGAGCCCCCAAAACGGACATTATTGTTATGGCGGAGGATTTCAACACGCGTGTTGGTCGTTTACCGCCAAGCGAACGCGACCTAGGAAGTTCACATGGATACGATAACGTTCGCTCCGATAGTGGAGAAAGATCAGTCAGCTTTTGCTCCGACTACCAACTTTACCAATCCAACCGGAACTTTCGCAACCCGAGACGCCACTACGCTACCTTGCGTGCTCCATCATCACAACATTGGTTGCATATTGATCACATCGCCATAAGTCACCGGTGAGGTGGCGGTGTTCGAGACTGCAGATCCTATTTTTCAACGTACACCCAATCTGATCATGCGCTGGCACTTGCGATGGTGTGCATGCGATTCGGTTGCTCGCCTAGAATTAAATCAACTCGTTTGAACATTGGTAAATTGATAGACCCCGTGGCAATCTTACTTCCCCCCCCCCACTGGACGTTGATCAGCATTGGCTACGTTTGCAACAGCTCATGTTTTCTGCAGGTCTGTCTACCTGTCGTCTTGTTCTTTCAGTAGGTAGAACTTGGCGATATCGTTGGCGGTCTATTCCCGACGAACCATTTCTCAACAATTAAAAGCAAGTCTTCGCTGCGATCATGATTCCTTGTGATCCAAACGAGTCACGGAAATGAAAGCTGCTGCCGTTGCTGGAAACACTCGCAGATTATTTTATCTCACCAGATCCTCTAGATGCAAATCACATGCCATCAGTGAGACAATCTGCACGTCAGACGGCACGAAGATCACTAACCTGCGCAAGCATTTTGATCGCTTGACAGAGCACTTTACTCCTCAAATTAATTATCCAGCTCAACCGCGGGTAACATCCCCTTTGCTATCGTGCGGTGCATGACCCGTGCGCAAATATCCTCTCACTGGGGCAAAGATTCGGAGAAAAATCCGAACTCTGAGATGATGCAATGCCCCAGGCCCTGACACTCTTCCTCCGGTCCCATTCAAAGATGGAGGGAATACATTTATTAGCGAACTGCTCTCAATTTTCACGGAAGTGTGAGTCGACGAGATGATTCTCAACCATTGGGGCGAGTATATCGTTGCCCCGGTTTAAAAGAAAGGTTCCTGCAGCGATTGCACCAACTGTCGAGGAGTATCATTTACATCAGTCACGTCAAAGGCTTTTGTGTCCATATCGCCCCGCAGGCTTTCAGCTACTCGAGAGTTTGTCTCGCGAGGAGTAAGTTGCTTTTCGCACCAATATTGGTTGCATCGATCATATCTTCATACTGCGACAAAATCTTGAACATTCTCACGTCCATCCAAGAACAGCAGTAGTGACGTTTTTGGACATTCGTGCCAGCTTTGGCTCCATGGATAGAACATCTCTTTGGAACTGTCGAGCATCATCAAATGGAAGAATTATTCGTTATATCTAAAGTCTTGTATGTGGAGCACCACTGACATTTTTATTGTACTTATTGAAACGAATCGCTAACAACTGTCTACTTACTGATGCGTCGAAGCGGCTTGGTCCATTGGTCATTGTCGTCGACTGATCACCAGTATTTTATTTCACTAAATTCGGCACAATTCAGGTCCAAACAAGTTCACGGATATTATATTCTAACCAATATGGGCGCTGCTAGTGCGACGGATTCTCCGGTACGGCATCACAGCTTCTGTTGCCGTACACGAGTTGGGGGACGTCAGCATAACTCGTTGGATGTTACTACGTGATTTCCGGTTCGCTTTCCACTTGCCACTAGCAAGACAATCATACTCTTAGTGTTTTCATTCTTCATACATCTAGTTCATGTAGCGTCCGTGATCGCTCTGCAGCGCTTTGGACTCTCTCCCTGACTATATCTTTTCTCAGCCAATTGAACCCATGGCGCTTTCACATTTCATGTTCCTCCTTCGATCTTTCAAGGTTATCCATAATGCTTTCAACTTGAATCCAACGGGCGCAAACACTCGTAAAAATTGCTTGCTATTCGTTGTGTGACCAATCTCAAATATTATAACAGATGACCACACAGAGTGGGATGGTATTGTTTAATTCGAATTTTGTCCCTCAATGGGTCGTAACATTTAATGGTGTTCGTACCCACTGGATTCAACTTGAAAGCGCTATGGTCCATCTTGAACGCTCTACGGAGGAACATGATTTCCTTAAGGAGGAATTCTTAAGCGCTATGGATACAATTTGCTGAGAAGAGATATAGTAAGCTGAGATTACGACTTGTTAAATAGCAATACGCTCCAATTTAACAGTTCGGACCAATGTACTAACTCGTCGCATTTCAACTCTGTAACATCCACTCGAGTAGGTGTGCTTACACTGTGCTCGAATGTTTCCTTAATTTTATTTGTGAGTCGCACCACGCATAATCTTTCCTCTTAACACTATTTCTCCAACATGATTTCCCCTACCGATTAATGCGATATTTTACTATATGTTTAAAAGTTCAATATCTTCCTCTTAAACCCGTTTAATCCCGCAGCGGCTTGCTTTCTAGAAGTTTTCGTCCGGTTTTACCTTTTGACTACATTTTGATTCCACATGGCTTTGACCTTAAATTCGTTATTCAGTTTCGCGCTATATATAGCCTTTCGAATTTAAACGCTTTGGTTCAGCTTTGGCATTTAGTAGAATTCGTAAACTGCGTTCCCATTCGTTGACCGATCCGTTAGAACTACAAATCTTGTTCCCTCCCCATTGCCACTTTTTTATACGATCTGACACGACGCCCTCGTCTCGACAATCATTTGACGTACCATCTAAAGTACAACCACCTACGCTACTGTACCGAGACCGTTATGTGGCTGCTCACGTGTTTGCCTTTGTACATTTTATCCTTCTCGTGTTCAGTAGACGCTAGGTCTCTTTTCGTTATTTTATTGACTTGTTGCAGTGGTGGTAATCACAGACCCTACTGTTGCAGTTCAACGCAGGCACATTTGACTCATCCGCTTTATTTGTGTAAAATTTTCAAACTAAGGAACTTCGATATTCATCGAGGTGTGTCATGGTCTACTTTTTCATGGAATCATGTACCTTGCGCTTAGAGACTGGAGCTGCAGTCTCATTCGTATGGCATAGGTTTGGGTGTTGAACTTGACTTGCCTGAATGTCGTTCATTGCGGCTCATCCACTGCAAGATTGGTGACTTTGGGCACCACCAAACATTTGCATCCACACTTTTGTATGCATTTCGCACTTACCGCTTGTTACCATCTTGCCCAGCTGCTTTCACATGCCTCCTTTGTCCAACCACAGACTGCTTTGCATTACGCTGCGAAGACCTCTAACATCCAAAGCATGCGACTTCTCATCAAACAGTATCATGCCAACGTGAACGCTCCCTGCAGAGTACGTCTCGTTTCTCAATTCACCGCTCCTACCATACCAATAGTTATCTTCTCCATTTGATGCGATTTGATCGATTTCTCGCATCGGTTATAGCGTCCTTTACTTCGTCGGTTTCGCATACTAAATTGTACCCTCTATTACACTTCTCTTGGTTTTTTTTATAGGGGATTGGTGTTAGCACTCTTGTGCACGCCCATCTTCTTGTTTACTCTTAGGTCAGACTTCGCATTTTAAACATATTCTTTTCAACATGTTCCGTAATGAATATGTTTTTTCTTTACTGCTCCCCCGTTTTTTCGTCCGTGTCTTCGTTACTTCTATGAATGTGTTCTTTTAATTCACTTCTGTCGAACAAGTTTGGTTTCAACACTGTGGTGTCAGGAATCATTATCATTATGCACCTTAGCTACAGGTGGAAAACACCTCGGCTATTGTGCCGCAATACATGAGAAAAGAATAAGAAAATCACGCAACCGAGGCATGCCAGCTGAGCCACCAGTAACGGACAGAGATTGCTTCGGAGTGCTGGCAGCCGAGTATTGGGCTGAAAAAGGTCATATTATGCCTAGAAAATGAGATCGTGGTTGGAGGGGAGGCTAAGCGGAAGGGGGGGGGAGACAAAGAAACTCACAACTCAAACTCCATTGTGGTCGGCTGTTCACCAAGTCAAGAGGTGTATCGAGCCAAACGTGCTCATCGTCTATCGGACCCTAACCGTGGAGCCTGGAGGCTCCAACTGAGGCCAACTTCGAAGTGAGTGCTTCCGTTCCGCTTGACCAAGTTTTCGCTTGGCCTCCTTTGATCTACGCTCCCGGCGCGCAAACAGCGCACGCCGCCGGAGTCGGCGTACTGGCAAGCGCAACGCGTGGCCAAGCCATCGGAGCCTAGTTCGTAAAATAACGGTGCTGAGCGTTTCACTTCTTCTACCTGTTTCATAAACATGGCGTTTAACACACTCATTGCTCACACGGTGTTCCCACTAGACATGAGTTATGCTACGAAAGCACCGGTGGCCGAACTTAACTATCCTCCTTATGTCTACTGATCTAATGGGCCAGGTTTCACAACCGTACAGCCGGGTCAAACATACGTCTGCATTGTACATTCTACCCTTCAGCGCGAGAGTGATGTCGCGCCTGCGAAATACGTGTCGTAATTTAGCGCAATCGTCTCGTGCTTTTCCTGTACGACTTTCGTCCGTCTACAATTCCAACGGCGCTGATAAAATTGCCTTGGTACTTGAATTTTTAACGACTTGTAGCTGATCCGCACCAAGGGTCAGCGCATGAGACGGTCTCTGCCAACCTTGGAGGAAAGCTTTACACTTCGAGGGTGCAATGCAAAGCCTGAAACGGCTGACAGCCAGTGCTAATCTGTCCTTAGCTGATGCACAGCTGCAGTCGGTTGGAATGTAGGCAGAGATCAACAACAAGTTACGTCTCCACGATATTTGTAGATCCTGCAGGAGACCTGAAGGGACATAAACTTGTCGGCACGTTGGTGAAATCCACGGTTGGTCTTGCGCATCCCGTGATTCATCCATGTGCGGCTTGTTCATGGCTAAATGCATCCCCGATGCAGCAATCAACGGTCGCCGCAACATCCAGTGATTATCCTTGCGGCGTACACCGACTTGGTGTGCACACCCCTTGTGCGCACTCAGCTCGTGTGCTCGGTTTTCTCAGTAGTTCATTCCCTGCCTGTCGCACAGGTCGCGTTCGATGCGTTCACACCTTTTCCATCATGAAGCCATTTGTTGAGCGTCGCATGGATGCAGAGGCTGTATTCCATCACTTACAGACACGATTCATTATCTCCTACCGCTGGTTCAATCCAGTTCAGTTAATCAACTATGATCCGAACACCGAAGTGCGGTGGATCCAGTTGCCACGACTCACACCGTAAGAATAACAATAAATAACACTAGTAGGACAGTGGGGTTTGGTGCAAAGAGAATGTAGCGAAAATGAAAGCGAGAAGGAACTGCGTAAGACTAACCATATTGGAATGAAGATTAGCAACCAGATGAAAGAAGCCGAATGTATGAACGCCACTGACTGCGGGACTGTGTCATGTCTAACAGGATGTCCAAACATTGGTGTGGACTGTCCTGAGGCCTCTATCCAGGAAAACGACACACACACGCCTGACCATACCTCTCAGACAATTTCTTCCAGCTTCGATGCTATGTTATGAAGTGGCCACCTCGTAGTTTCGCCCAGGTTGGTGCAGCCACAGCTTATGATGCACGCTGAGGAAGCTGATCCACGGGCATACGGAGGACATGGGCTAGCCAATGCAAGCGACTAAGATTTAGTAAACATTCGAGAGAAGCACCAGAAGGCTTGTTGTCAAAAACCAACTGGCGGACCTCATCATTGCTTACTTGGTGGCCAAACACAGTCAGTCTTTACTACGTACTGGCCAGGTCTCTGACCCATACAGTAACCCTGGTCTTATCGCAGCGTTCTACATCCTACGTTTCGCTGACAGGCTTTTATCCGACCGTCTCCATAGATGGTTGAGCCTCTGGCAAGTCATGCGGACCTTGCTGATAGGCGAAGTGACCTATTCAGTGAAGTGACCACTAGAGCTGACGCAGCTACCAAGATAAGTGAGCCGATCCACCACTTTCAGCGGCTGTTCTGAAATAGCTCAAACCGGAGGTGTGTCGCTCCTATCCTGCAACAGTACGTTGCACTTTGAAGGTGTAAAGTACATACCGAACCGTGCAGCACTACACACAAGTCTTTGCAGTAATATTTGCATAGCCAATGCATACTTCCGGTTTGTCATTCGGTCACCTGGAAGCAGTTCCACTCCAGAAAAGTCTGAAAAAACCGAGTCATTCAGGATCATTTCGATCACAAAGTTGAAGAGGAAGGAAGATATAGGACAACGCTGACGAACCCCGCTTGTCGTAGGGAACTCTGGGGACAGTTTCCCGTAGACCCTTACACGGCTTCTGGAATCACGATAGAGAGGCTTCAGAACGTAAACGAGTTTAGCTGGCACGCGCTTCACGTATAAGCAATGCCACAAGCTGGCTCGGTCAACACAGTTGAAGGCGGCTTTCAACTCATGGAAAACACCATAGTCGGTCGTCTGAATGTATGTCTCTGCTCTAAAACTTGACGAAGACTAAGTATTTGGCCGATGCAATCACAACAAATGCGGAAACCAGCCTGACTTTCTCTGATTCGGTCCTCACCGAGACCATTAAGTCATCGAAGAATGATATCCGTGAGACGTTTTGAGGCAATGGAAATATGGCTAATGTCTCGATGATTTTCACGCGATGTTTACTGACGCTTCTTGAAGGTGAGCAAGTCAGTTCATAGTCGCCAGTCTGAAAGCATTTCTTCAGCGTCCCAAATCGTGTTTAAAAGAGAAGCAAGTCCGGTCAACAAAGAGTCACCGCCATCTTTCTCATCAAAATGGGGGAAGGTCGTCAGGTCCCGGAGCCTTGTTTCGTTTTAACAAGGAGAGGTCATGTCGAATGTTTTCCAAAATGGGAGGCGTGATTTCTACTTTCCACGTCGGCTCAGGTGATTCGGCAACCAGCAGTGTCCCAGCAGGCCTGCTGAACTGCTCTTCAAAGTGTTCAGCCCAACGGGTTAGTCGACGACGCTTAGAATGGATCAGCAATCCATCTTTCTCAGGTGTTATCTCACTGATGGGTGGCTTTCTCCGACCCGTGTTCCGGATGAGTTGGAATAGCAGCCGGATGTTTCCAGTAGCATTGGCTTTCTCCATCTCACGGGCCTTTACAATCCACGAACGTTCCCGATCAGCTCGAAGGCTCCTTGTCATTAGTCAGTGCAGTACATTCAGGACCAGCTGGACTACAGTGACTAGATGCCCCGTATGACTCAGCACTTCACATGCCGATGTCACAATGGACGTATCGTAATTATGATTAATGGGAAAGTGTCATTGTCGGATCGGGAGGACTTACGTTCTATGCTTACATCTATTTCAGCTTGTACTGGGGCGTCAGTGGTGCATATGAATCAAACAGCGGCCGGTAGTGGACTTCGGCAGCCCTCATCACGACCATCGGTTTATTCCGATTTTCATATCTCCCGCAACTGAACATGGTTTTTTCACAACATTGCTTTTATCTCCATCAGACATCTGTTAATTAGTTAGCTACGAGTGATAACTCGCGCCTTTTCAGCTACAATCTGACAGTTGCCAACCTTCCGGGCCACTCCAGTAAAAACACTGCGATATGAGGGTCCCCTGTGTGTGTGCTATCCATTGTAGATCGATCTTTATCTTTTCACTGTGAAACTTAACCCTAGCAACGAACAATTTGCTATGTTTGCATTTACTGTGCCTACGGACAAATGTGATCGACCAGGAGCAGTGTATTTGCAGCGTGCTTTTTGATTTCTTCCGCTAGTTATTCAAATGAATGTTGTCTGCTCCGTCTTATCGCGGTCGCAGTTAAGGTTGCACTGCAACCACCACCACCACCACGGTGCTGTTGTCCCGGTCACCAGTCCGAGTTGTGCTTAAAAGGTCGATTCGACCGAACTAATTGTGCTTTTGCCGGTGTGCATACATAAGTAGTCACATCGCCTCCGGCTTCGCGTTTGTTTCGCTTACTGCATGCGCCTTAACGACCGTATCGTCTTATCGGATCAAATCGTGAAGCTGCTCACCAATGTTGGCAATTTTGTTGCGAACATCATCAGACCGAGCTTCGTCTCCAGTGTTGGTGATGGTCAAACCCACCACTTCTGAATGTTCGTTGTATGTCGCACTGGCAAACCTTAAGCGTGGTTTTTAATTTATTCGCACGTTTTAACACCATGTCTACCGCGTGACTTTGCATCCGCTGAGGGAGCAACGTTTTGACTTGTACCATTGAAGCATTTAGCTTTGTGGTAGCACCTAAACGTACTTGACTGACGCTATTTGTACTTTTAAAGAGATGGGATGGTTCTTATCATCCACTTGACCAACTTTTCATTGAGCTTCTGATTAACAGATGCAACGCTACAGAACCTCCACTGTTGCTGCGCAAGTCAAACTGGGCGTATCTTGACTCTCTTGCACTCAACATTTAATTACTGGGCCAGTGATTTATTATTTCTCGTTTCCAACTCATCCGTATTGCGTGACCAATCAAAAAACGGGTAGTACCGCATCAATTTGACTGAAAATCAATCAATACGGGGTTCAACTTCCGGAGCGTTTTGTCTCTAGAAGTGTCTATATGAACGCCTGGTTACCTGAACTCCTTCTGAGCGCCGTGTAGTGTCTTTTGTGTTTTTCGCGACTTCACTTGCTGTGTTATTGGTTCGCATACTCTTAGAGATTGGTTCGCAACCTGGGGGCAATAGCCCCCAGGGGGTAAAATGGAACTTTACGGGGGGGAATATAAGTACGATGATTGGGTCATCACTCTGCCACCAAACGGAATTAATAACATCCTCTGTATCAAAACACGTAAATAACTACCTAATCGTAATTGATTAGCCAGCGGCAATCATTAGTAAGTACTCATTGAACCAGATAATATTCGATAGTAAATATTATTACCTAAAATACAAATAAAAGCCTGCAGATAAGCGCATCTAGGCGGAGACTTTATCAGCTCATTCGTCGATCGTTGTTTCTTTGAGTCGATCAGTTGTTCGCCAGGTCGCATTACGAAGTTGAGTAAACACTAAGGTGTAAGCATAAACCTGCCGACCAGATGAAAGAGCAAGCGAATGTTTACAAACTAGAATAAACAAAACAGACGGTTGGTATTCAGGACTTGTCGATACACAGTGGTGGTATTAACCTGTTATCAAGGACGGACTTTGAAGGGATAGTTGAAACAACTGAGAAGTCACTGATATGTGTTCATGTCTGATCAAGACTCACACCACACCAGTGAACCGAATGAACTTGGAGCACAACTTGCGATGCGCGTTTGCCGAACTCACATCGAATCTATCAGAAAATGAGTTACCGTTGGAGAGATTGTGTCCAAAACTGTCGCTCGATTTGGAGCACGAGCTTGGACTCTGACCACGCACTTCTCTGCACCGACCTCCGGGTGCGTTTCGGTGGAGGTCCGCAACGTCGATGTGAACGGATTGACACCAGCCAGCTGATGAAGCTAGGTGTTCTGAATGCGCATCAAAGTGCTCTGACATCGGGGCTGAGTAAGCGCCCACTGAACGCCGTCGAAGATCACTGGTCGCATATTTGTCAAACGTTACTACCAGCAGGCATGTCTTCATGTGGCAAATCAAATTTTCAAACTGGACATTGGGTCTCTACACAGTCTCTGAAACTTATGGATGCTCGCCGACGTATTCCGGCTGGAAGCGAATACAATGAGCCTCACAAAAATCTCAGAGCAAAACTACGTGCTGGTCTGAATAAAGACCGCGAAGCCTGGTGGTCTCGTCGTGCCTCGGAGTTGAAACCAGCCGCTACCATTGGCAGGCATCATAAGTTATTTCTTCTGATACGGAAAACAGGCAGTAGGAGACCTAGTGTTAGCGAGACGAGAGTGGGCGGCCGATCCACAGCCTGTCAAGACGCTTGTAGCTTTAGACAGAACAGTTTGCAAGTCAATTTAACCAACCTAAGTTATCGGTTTGTTTTTCGGGCATTGAGCGCCTTTCTCCCTGGGCAGTCTTCTTGGGTCTGCCCTCACGCGCCGAACTCGAACGTAAAATCAGGCTGTTGAAATTGCATAAGGCCCCAGGGGCAGATAGGATTCCCCTACCCCTCTTCAAATTCGGGGGACCTGCTCTAATCGATGATTTACACGACTTGCTAGTAAAACTTTGGGAGCATGAGACTGTCCCGACAGACTGGAGTCGCTCCGTCATTGTCCCAATTTTCAAGGAAGGTTCTCGTTCGGAATACGGCCATCATAGAGGGATCAGTCTGATTTCAATGACCTCTAAATTGCTTGCCTCTGTCATTCTCCACAGACTGACTGGCACTCGTGAAAGCCAGATTCATGTAGAGCAAGCCGGGTTTCGTCGAGGTCGTGGCTGCATGGACCACATCTTCTCTTGCATCAATTGTAGGAGCACCGCCATGTTTATTGACGACCCACCGTTTCTTGGCATAAAGGACTCCGTCGCTCGTCTTGCCCTTTGGGACTGTCTGCTGTGGAAAGGTGTGCCTGATAAATATGTAAACATTATCAAGGCGCTGTACCCGCATAGTTCAGGTAGTGAGGGTTTGTGCCGAAGTGTTGCCACCCTTCAGTAGCACCAGTGGTGTGAGACAAGGTTGCCCGCTGTCACCTTTTCTCTTCAACTTCGCTATTGATGAAGTCATGGAAACAGCGTTCGCTGGACACGACCTAGATGGTGTGGAGCGGCTTCCTGGTGAGCGACTTCTTGACTTGGAGTACGCGGACGATATTGCCCTAATCTGTGGCAGCTTCCAAACATGCCAAACAGCACTGGATCGATAAGCACTGGCTGTCAGTTGTTTTGGGCTATGCTTTGCTCCATCGAAATGCAAAGTACTTCTCCAAGATTGGCAGGAAACCACCCCTGCGTTAACGCTTTGTAGTGATCTGCTAAAAGTCGTTCAGGAATTCAAGTACCTGGGCAGCTATATTAGCGCCCGAGTGATCGAAGATGAGGTTACGAACCGTATAGCAAAAGCTCGAGATGCTTTTGCCAATCCCCGCCTTCTGTGGCGCAGACGCGCCATTACTCTTGCCCCGAAGGGCAGAGTTTATAACGCAGCCGTCCGTTCAGCTCTCCTTTATAGTTGTGAAAACTGACCCATCAGGTCGACAGACATAAAAAGACTCGTCATATTCGGTCATCGCTGCCTTCGCAGCTTAGCTCATCTCTGGTAGGAGCACCGCGTGAGCAATGAGTGTTCGACGTCGCGTGTTTAGTGCAGGAAGAGCGAGTGAACCGCTCAGCACCATTACATCACGCTCCGGGCTCCGATGGCCGGGCCAGGTTTTGCGCATGCCAGTACACCGACTCCCGCGTTGTGCATTGTTTGCGCGTTGTGGGTGCGGTTGGAAGAGGAGGAGGGGAGGCCAAGTGATGACTTGGTCGAGATACATGAAAACCCTCACTTCGAAGTTGGCGTCGGTTGGTGCATCCCGACTGCGTGGCTGGGGTCCTAAGAACGGTGACCACTTTTGGATGGACACACTTGCTACTATGGCTAGGAGCCGGCCCCAATGGCGTTTGTGTTGTGAGTTCCTTTGTCCATACCCCTCCGGCTTATCCTCCTCCTCCAATCACGATCTCATTCATTATACATAACAGAATGTTTTGCGGCACTATAGCCCGGTTATTAGCTCTCCGGAACGATGTCCATCCGTTACTGGGGACTCAGCCGACGTGTCACTGTTGTTTTTCTTCTTGTCCTTTGTATTACGGCACAATAGCTGAGGTGTTTTCCACCTGCAGCTAACGTGTAATGATGATGATGATGATATCAGAAAGTGTTTGAACTAAGCACTATCAATCGTCTCGTTAACGTACATCACTTCTTGACTATTAACAATTTGCCCAACAATAAGTGCGTTCTTTATTTGAGTAATGGAAATTAACTAAAACTAATATTCATTTCCCGTAGTTTAAGGCAAAAAATGCAGTAGTTATTGATAACTTAGTTGCTAAACTAAAACTTTTTGGGTGAGGGTAAATGTTTCTAGTGAATTCGCTTTGTGTGTAACAGCCTCAAAAGTGTTGAGAACCACTGCTCTGGAATCTACTATCGCAAGCCGGAGATTGACCAGCACGTAAGTAGGAAAATTAACCTTGGCTGTTCGATCGCGAAATGCGGATTTCCGTTTTATCCGACATCTAAATTTTCTTCCAACTGTTCCAAAACAAAGTGAATTTTATAAATCAGTCTGTGTGGTCTATCAGGTCTCTTGTGCTGCAGCGCGTAGCCTTCGACGCGTCCCTTCCATAGTAATCGATTATATAAATCTCACTACTTGCATTTTTGTAAGTAGATAATATGCATTCAGCTTTTTCTTTCACGCGCACTTCGGAAATTCCTACTAGTTAACAACCCTATCGATGTTCAGCGTGCGTATACTGACTGAAATTGTGTTCAACCTCACAGACGCTGTTCTCACTCACCTACGTTTGTTTCACATAATATCTGAATATAGTAATTTTTGTTTCTTCAAACTAATTACGGACCAAGGAATATATAATCAATGATTAAATATGGTACAAAGAACTCAGCAACAACAAGTTATGTGATTCTAAATTATTTTGATATCATACACGCCATATTACATATTTCATTCATGCATGAGCATGATAATTATTGTACCCATGGTCTGTCCACAATCCAGGGACAGATTCTCCTACAATCGGGAAATATACGTATTATTATTATTTATCCTTCTCTCCTTCCTTTTCTCCACGCTCCGGTTCTTCTGGTTGGTCCTTTTCAGAACGTAAGTTCCGTTTTGCTGTCAAAATGTCAGCTAACGACGTATGGTGTTAATCATCATGTCCACCTCTGTTACAGATTGTTTTCCATGCATCTAATACTAAGTGAAGCGCGTGCTCATCTACACTGATGCCACATCACCTTTGGATCAGCATAGACAAACCAGGCTCTGACGTTTGAAACATTTAGGAGCCTGGATATTGTTTCGATTAAGCTGCTGTTTATCGCAGTAACTGTGCAACTAACATCAAAAAAGCCATGGGTTCGTGTGCCTGCTATCACTGCCCGATGAAATCACCTAATCTGGAAACTGGTCGTTCGGTGCAGTGTTTTCTAGTGAGTTTCATCAGTGATTGGATTGACCAAGATTCACTTCAGTGCAGACCGCGGTCCACATTAAGAGTGGGCGTCGTACTCCGCCCACACAAGCTGTATTTCAAAATGACTCACCAATTAGCCCACCACTTTGTCCAGAATAAACTTGCCGCTGGTATTATAGTTGATTTATTGTTTTAGCTAGAGATCGGCGCAATACTGAACAGCATTTACGGCCACTTCGCTTTTTGGCTGCTTCAGCTTCCTTTTGCCCTGCTTTCTGTGCCACTAATATCTATTGGAACCGCACCAGCTACTAGCGGGACCGACGGCATCTAACCCCCGCTAGACCAATCTGTCTAATTCCAGAGTCTCTGTGAACCCACTCTTATCATGACACTGTACGAATCGATGGCACAACGACTTCAGTCCAACCATCTATCTTTTCGGCCTGATAGAAGAATCTCCGTCTCCCTACTTCGAATACTTAATATACTATGACAACTGTTCTGAGTCCTCATCCTGATGTTACAGGTCTATCTACTGCATCTACACCCCGGGTAAAAATGCTATATCTTTCTGTGGGCTTCCAAATTAGACTGTCACTTAACAATCTCAGAAAAGGAATGTTTTCGCGTTAAGTTTTGAACTGCATCTCAATTTGATTCAGGTATTGCTCTGGTTTACAAATACACTCTTAGAGCTATGGTCTATAGCCGCCCACTCCGTCAGCCCACCAGTCCGGTCGGTCTGATTTGACTCGGTTACCTCGGCGACTTTGATTTATTATTATCGTTGCTTTGAAGTAAAGCCGCAGTCTCCCATTTTACGATCGATGGGATATTTCCCCTTGACTTTTTCACGTGTTCACCGACTGTACCTGTCCATCAAGTTAGCCTAAACGCGATAGAACAACCTTTCATTGACATAACGTGAGTTACAATCATCGGCTTCAATCTCATGTCTTTGTTCTATTAACAACCACCACATCGATCTTCATGGACTCCTCTAGATATCACACAACAGTTCTTGACAAACGTTTCTTATTACTTATGGCGTTTTTTAATTGAGTTACTCCATTGTGTAATCACATTTGTCCTTAGTACCTTTGTGGTGATTTACCGCACGCCCTCAAGCTTCTCCGTTATGCTTGATGTACGGAACCATCCGTTTTACTAAACCTCTAGCAAGTCGATCGGGATTAGTCAGAGATGGTGCATTCTTGATCACGGTGTTAGAGGAACCCTTATCATGTTTTGATGACGCTTCATGTTTGAACTATTCGATACGTTGCCGTATGATAAACCCTTTTACCAAGTAGCTAACTGTGACGGCACGTTTTCGACTCCTTTGAGTCATTACCGCATCAGACGTCAGTAGTACGCCGATGCTTCGCTGCAACGAGACTACCATCAATCGCAGAAGGTTGCTTGCACCTCCGCGAATTCGAACCGGTAACCTCCGGGTTATTAGTCGGGCACGCAATCCTTCCAGCCACCGACCGACTTGTTGCATCAAATACAAGACTGTTTGTGAACGGTTCCTATGTGTTGCATGTCACTATAAAATCAATGCGAACACCTCACTTTAGACAAAATATGTTACCTGCAAAGGGGTACACTATTACCACAGCACAACAGGCTAAATTGAGGCGCCTACGATCATGAACCCGATTCATGAACTCATGGCTGGATTTTTGCCATTCGCGTCTGCATCAGTGCAATTCCCCGTGAATACGATACCATTTTACTACTTACATCCGATCTTGATTCATCTCTGAGAATCCTAGTCATTTGCTTGTTCTGTTATTCATCACGCTGACATCTCATGATCGCTGTTTCATGGACATCTTCATGGGTTTTTCAACAATCTTGTGGGTATTTACTTGTGTCGCACTCCAAAGCAAACTCGGAACAGTGTTGGAGATCACGTTTGGCGAACGACCCTCATCTAATCAGAGCCAACAAAGTCAGTGCCAATAGTTGGGATGCCCGTTCATTTTTTGTGGGGGTACGCCTCACGGAATTCATCAAGTCAAAGCTGGTTTCTCATCTCTATAACTATGTCCAGGATAGGGGCGATTATATGTAATCCTAGGATTACTTTCTTCCTGATGTGTTTACTCAATGCGTAGGCATCCCTTGTCGTGCTTGCTGTTCTGATGGCACCAGCTGACACTATGTCAGTTGATTCGCGGTTCTTAACTAATCGCTCCGCTGATCGTATACACGCGCCGCGTCATATGTGTTCGCACCATAAATAGAAGAAGAACTGGCATTAGGCTAAGACGCCTCGAATGCTCAGAAGTCGTGAATCAGATGTGTACTAGAAAATTAGGTCAGACTCGAACTTGTCATCCGCGTCTTTGCTCCGAGATGGATTGAGGAGTTGTTCGTAAGCCTCGTTGTCATTCTCCATGATCTTTCGGTTTCGAGCGTCAACACATTCTGTATCATGCTCACTAACCTTCTCAACCTATGCCCTGCTCAACCACTCTCTCAACATCACTCTCGTCATTTGCAACAACACGTGCCTTATGCATAGCCAAGTCGGAATATCGATTGCCTATACCTACTATATTGACTGGCTCATTATCTGCACGTTTTAGCCAAACCCATCCACACTCCGATTTTTCTGAGGGCATCACGCATCATGAGTAGTTCTACGTGACTTTAAAATTCACTATGCTCCAAAGGACCATTGCAGCTTAGATTGGTTAACTCCTTTGTGGCGCTACTGCCAGGGCAGGCTTGCGAGGATCGAACGATATCCGAAATTCGTACGGCCCCTAAATACACTTATGGAAATATCTGCGCATAGTGTGTACACCACTCATTCTCGGACTGGTGTCATTCTCGCACGTACGCTTTAGCATTTCAGCGTCTTCGGAATTGATTGAAGCGCGGGCTTTCGGAACTCATCTTTGAAGCACTGTCTCTGTGTGAACTGTGTTCTGTAACCTATAATAGTAGACTCGGCGAAGTAGTAGCTCTAAGTGACTGAGATCTGAACACCACAAGATGGAACTCCCAAGTTGTCCCTGTGTTTCCCAGGATGGAATCGGACCGCATTCATGTTTTAGGTCGGACGAAATCGGCGCCTTCTGTTTAGACTCCTCACCATGCTGTTGGTTACCTTGCTCCACATCTACAATCTGTCTGAACGTTTTGTCCGCCAACCTTCCCATTTAGGGGCTATATTAATGGGCCCACGGTAAATAAAATCATTTTTTAACCTATTGTTAGTGGTGGTGGGCTTTATACCAAACTACCTCAATAAAAGTCCACCAGTACTTCGCGCCCGCACTTCGCTATCATACACTCTTCGGTTGTATCTTTGTCAAGGTAATGGCTGTGTTTTTCGAACACAAATAAGCATTAGTTCTGGGTTCTGGACCAAATTTCACGACTTAAAACCAACCGCTATACAGCGGAGACATGCCACTGATTCTGATAATAAGAAGGCTTCACCGAGACTGATGTCATCTCATTTACAACCACCAACTTAGGACAACAGGGGATTTACTTTTTCTAATCTCTAATTATTCCCTAATCTGACGGGAATAGATCCTAAAGTACTTAAATACACCACTTACCATGACTTACTTAATCACAGCGGTTCACAGTCTATTCAATCTTGTTGCGATCCCGTCCGTTGTGGTCCACTGATCTTGTCAGAAATTTTTACAAGTCATATTCAGTGTGCACCTGGTTTACACTATAGCATCTTCATCGTCCTGTTTGTTATAAGGAATTTTAGGCCATCTCTAGCTTAGGGCATTGTTTCGTCCGAAGTTACAATGCCCTGCAACAAGCAGCACTTTCGCATGTTTGCCTTCATTTTTCATTTCTGAACGAACGCCGTTATAAGCCTGTTGCCTGCACACACCCGCCATCGCTCTTCGTAAGAAATGTTCCTTTTCACAGTCGTTGAACGCCCCATCTATCCGTGTGCTTCCCTGCCGCGTTGATTCCTTCAAGTGCTCTCCTCATGCATACGACATTTTATTTCTGCCTAATGAAGCTAGCTTTCCTTGCACCCTCATCTATACGACAGACGTCATTTTCATTTGCGTATTGACTTTTACCTAATGAGTGCCATTTTCCCTCATCTCTTGTCTGATTGGCGTCACAGAATGCACCGGAAATGGTCTGACTTTACGCAGTATTTTATTTTCCTCTAGTATCGTTATAACTGCTAGGCTTTTGTCCCATTACTATGTGTTTATAATTTTTGAATGTAGCCGCTAACTTATTTTCGTGTGGTTATCACCTTCATTATTCATGCCTGTACGTAGGGAGCTCATTTTTGATATCTTTACCGTTTTTCTTTACAATGCAGGGCCAAACTCCGCTCCACATTGCAGTGATGCACTCAAACGTGACTGCGATTCGTCAGCTTGTCGAAGAATTCAGTAATATTTACAACCTTTTCCGATGCTCTTTTACATTGATTTCTCCTGCACCTTTTTGCGGTTTGTCTGCTTCGTATGTCACTTGGACACAGTTAATCACCACTTAACATAGAGCTTCCTGCATTATGTCGAATCACGAACTGTTTATGCGAGAGCTTAATTCTTCAGAGCACCTCGTGACACTTTTGTCGGCTTAATATACCCGGCAGTGAGGCTGGACCTCAACGTAGTGCGACGGTTTGCGTACCTCGTCGATCCATTGAGCTATATTGGGTGGTGCCCCCGGGCGCCTTAAGAACTATTTCTACCGGATTTGTCAATGGTTAGAGGTCAGAAGAACTCAGTCTTGTGGTCATTCAGATTGGGATTGCCGCATCTGCTGCCTTGCCGACAGGCTTTTGCGCCAAAGGCTTTGATCAAGGACCCTAATCGTTCTCCTGTCTAGGTCTGGGCGTCCACCTACATCCACGACTACTTCTCCAAAATTCAACGGCATCGGCCGTTGCGCAGTGTATTAAGGGTCACCTTATCTACCCCCTTTTTAGGTTTGTCGGCGGTCACACGGCCGCCAACCCCAATGAATCAGCGGACCTTGTAATTCTTCCAACTGATCATCAACTTAGCCTAAACATGCCTGTAACCAGCGGCGTGTACTCCGATTGTACTCCCGCAAGTTCCTCAACTGCATGGAATGATGCCCTTTGTCAAAGTCAATAAACCTGCCTACGCAACATGGATATGTTAGATTACTTCCCTTTAATGCTCGGTCTCTGAACAACAAAATGCATCATTTACGTTCTTTACTCTTTCTCTCCTGTCCGGACATGGTACTTGTCACAGAGACTTGAGAAAACGAACCTACTTCTGATGCCCACTTTTACATCCTAACCTTCCGCAGCTTTAGCTGTAGTCGCATATCCCGCCGTGGTGGCGGTTGCCGCATATATGTGGACAACAAACACAATGCAACTTCTGTGTGCGACCCACTTCTAGAGGGCCTTGATGAATCTGTTTGGATTCAGATTCAAATTAGTTGCAAGACCATCCTTATTGGCTGTGTGTACAACCCACCACACTGTCGTAAATCGAATGTCGATCGCCTCGTGGACGTCTTCTTATATGCTTCTGAGTAGCGGGCAACTCAAAAAATTATCAGCGAAGACTTTAGTATACTTGAGATTTCGTGGTATCCATCACGGTCCCCATTAAAATATCTTCATTTTGTTTCAACACTCCGTATCTTTGATTGGATTTAACAAATTTCCTCTCCAACAAGAGGTGAACACTTGCTAGACCTAATCTTTACAAATGACCTAAGTCTTAGAAACAAACGCATCCTCCCCAATCTTCTTGGGAGTGACCACAAGATAGCAGAGATCAACTTCGAGGGAATCGCCTACAACCACGATGCATTCAAAACAATTATAAGACTTGGCAATCCAATTCCGATCTCTAGACTCGGATGACTATTTCCTCTCCCCTGAATCTGAACATGCAGCAGATTTGTTAGACCAAAATGTACTCATGTGTCTAGATGTCTTCTGCCCGCTGCATCAGAGGCGTACTTCCCTCCAAACGAGTCAGACCACTATCCCGTCGCATCTAATGTGAAAGCTGAAGAAGCAACGATATAAATTTAAAGAGACCAACAATTTAAGTCTACTAATTCTGCAAAATCAAATAACATCATTCTTAAAAACAAATTGGTCCTCAAAACTTCTCAGAAATGAGACCAGTGCATTAGCCTCCTACATTAAACCAAGGGAAATGACTAGACTATTACAGCACAGGCGCACTTCTGGCATGGTATATCACCTTCCATTATACTACCCAAAAAACAGCCTCTTTACAAACCCAGCTCAGATGTGTGAGGTTTTCCATGCATACTCCTCATCGTTTTTCATAGAGCGGTGCATAGTACCAATCGTAAACATCTTCACTAAAACTACGGATTACATCTGCACCGTTGAATTTGAGCAATCGGACATAATAGCTCTGCTATACTCAATACGAACGAGCAATTTTTCCTTGTCCGGATGGAATACCGTCTTGTATGCTTTAATTCGGCGGCCGTGATATCCCCATACTACTACAAAATATTTTTAAGTTATCCATGAAGTCTGGGGTTGTTCCAGATGTGTAGAAATATGCGTTGGTTACACCATGATATAAAAGTTACCCACGTCAATTACAGACGGGCTATCGGCCCATCAGCTATACCTCCATTCTGTGTAGATAGGTAATAAAAGCCAAAATTGTTGAATTCCTATCATCCCAAAATTTGATCAATACTTCCCAGCACGTATTTCTGAGAACACGGTCATGTATTACTTGTCAGGTACAATTTCTAAACTTTCTTACTCGTTTCATTGACGGTGGTAAGCGTTTAATCATCATATTTCTTGATAAACACAGAGCGTTCAATCGAGTACCACGTGCAACTTTTCTATCGAAATTACATTCTTTTGGTATATCTAGCAATTTACATTCTTGGCTAGCATCGTATCTTTTTGGTCGGCACCAGGAAGTTGAAATACTAAACAATACTTCCACGAGTAGAAAAGTTGCAAGTGGCGTGATCCAAGGGAGTGTTTTAGGGCCTCATCAGTTTTTAATGTACATTAACGACGTCTTCGATGTCATTAAACACGACAAACCCCAGGTATTCGCAGATGACATTAAAATTGTCTGTGAGTTAGATTTGGACAATTTCACTAACCCACTGGCCGACATGCAAGCCGATCTGCACGAGCTGGAAACTTGGTGCAACAAGTTTAAAATAGAACTCTCATATGTTCTCAGTGCAGTATCACACCAAATTTTTTGATGCTAGAAGGCAAAACCCTATTCATCTATCTCACAATTCATGATCTTGGCATACACTACTCGAGCTCCTCCAATTTCACCGAACAGTGGAGTACACGGTTCCAAAAGCCCGTAAACAATGAGAGCTAATACTAAAATCCTTTATTCTAAATGAATCTAAAATCCACCTGTACAAAACCAGTATTCGTCCCCTACTCGAACACTGCTCATTGATGTACTCCAATCCGAGAAAAAGTGATAGAACATCAATAGAAAATGTACAGCTCTACTTTACGAAGCGCCTAATGAGAAACCCTGGTGATCTTACCTACTATGACCGTCGCTCTGAGATGTACATAGAACTTCTCTGGTTAAGGAAACTAAAACTGAATCTGAACTTCATGTTTGATATAATTCACAAACGCGTCTATACCTCAGACATTGAGAGTGTACTTCAGCGTTTTCTCGGGTACAATGTACGGAATAGAGATAACGCGTTACGAATCGAAAAGGCACGAGCTAGATTAGGATCTTTTTTTCTTAACCACTATGCAGTGATGTGGAACAAACTACCGCAGAATCTGAGAACGTGTGACAAACTGTTTTTTGTACTCCATTTAACATGGAATTGACAGTGAATAAAATGAAGGATATGCTAAACATAGAAGTGAATATAGCCACCTTGTGTAAGAAAGCGCCGAGCTCTATATAGCAAATGACAAAATTTTCTGATTCGAAGTCAACCCACCTCTACCGCATTTTTATTTAGAGAACAACTTTGTTCCGCACTTCTAACTAACTCTCTTTTCTGTTCGGAGAAATCAAGGTACAATTTACGGAGCTCTTAACGAAATCCGTCGATATCACTCCCTACACACCTTCGCTGTCCCGTATGGTTGAACCGCTGAAACATCAACTCATGAACATTTTTCTTAGGATCGGATTGAACGCAAGCCCTTCTTGACGATTCAATTACAAATGTGATCGGATTAACCCTACGATCCGTGTCCAGCACTATCGAGACATAAATTATTCGTTCATTTTTTATTTATGACTACCTTTCTGCCCTCCTACTGTAATGTTACATATTACTTTTTCTGTCGCAGAGGCGACAGCCCAGGAACAGAGAACAAGTCTCATTACTCAACGCTATCAATGCGTGTAGTTTTCGAACGCAAGCAAATGACGGTGAATCTGAAAATCATTCTCAGAACTGTCTAGCAGATCGATACTGCGAGCAGTCATCCTTTTTTGACACTTCCCCTGTACAATTTGGCCGGTCTCACTTGCGCACATATTTTATACTCTTCGTTACTTCATTGCTGACCACGACTGGGTCGACCTCCTGAAGTGACGGATTTTAAGCTTCCAACGCTACTAATTGCCATTGGTCTCTTGGCGAGAAAAAAATGCTCTACTCAAAAAACCGGCTTATGGTACGGGCTAGGTGGCTTGACTGTCCACACTAAAGATGAGTTACGTAACTGATGGCTTACCTGCTTAAAAAGCCACACCAGCACCCGGCCAGTTGGGGCATCGAAATGCGGGTGAAATCCGTCGAGAGAATAACCCACATGGAAGCAACGAGCGTGTTCGACGCCTTGTTTACGGCCTAGGAAAAGGGAATGAATCGCTCAGCACCGTCATTTCACTCACCAGGCTCCGATGGCTGGGCCATGTGTTGCGCATGCCAGCCCACCGACTCCCTCGACGTGCGTTGTTTGCTCACCGGGGATGTGGGTGGAAGAAGAGGAGAGGTGGCCAAGCGATGACTTGGTCCAGAGGAATGAAGGCCCTCACTTCGGAGCTGGCCTCAGTTGGAGCTTCACGGCTCCCTGGTTGGGGTCCAAAAGACGGTGAACACGTTTGGCTGGATACACTTGCTGATATGGCTAGGAGCCGACCTCAGTGGCGTTCCTGCTGTGAGTTTCTTTGTCCCTCCCCATCCCTTTAGCTTCCCCCTCCATCTACGATCTTATTTCGTAGGGTAAAACGTAATTAAATTTTTGTTTTTGCCTAGTAGCCGGCTAGTAGCTTACCGGAACGATGCGTATCCGTTGCTGGTAGCTCAGCTGGCATTCAACTGTCGTATTTATTTTTCCTTTATGTATTGTATGTATGTAAGTATTTCCTTTATGTATTGCGGTACAATAGCGGAGGTGTTTTACCATCTCTAGCTGACATGTATAATGATGATGATGATGATGGTGATGATGATGATGATGATGATGATGATGATGATGATGAAGCAGATCCCCAGGAGACGGTCCCAGTAATGAACCGTAGTACTTATACGTTTTATTTATCCACACTTGTTATCTTTTGAAACATCACAATCCTCCCGAAATATTTAACCGACCAATTAGCCATGTCCACCTAAATGCTTGAGTACTGCTTTGGGAAATCGATAAGTATAACATCTGCACCTTGCGATTTTGCCGTACACCAACAATCGTAATATCTATTTGGACCGTACCTCGCACCGATAACAGATATACCTTTGTTTTTTATTCACCACAAATTCATATTGTCCATGCAAGTGCAAGATACCAACTGTACATATTTGATCTGCGCCAAATATGGTCGCAGCTTCTCTTTTAAAGAGAAATATACCCGTTATTCTTATTACTGCATGCAGCAGGGTGAATAAGCGAAAAATTACTTTCACTGGCGCCTCCCTCCTTCCTTTTCCCTCTTTTCTCTTACTCCCATCCCAACCCCCATTACTAACCTTCCTTCTATAATTCCCAACTTAATTGACATTAGCCGTTACACCACTGAAGTCGAACCATCTGCAGCTATCTTCTCGCGTCACCCACAATCCCTGCTGAGGCCATGCTATTTCGTTCCCTTGGCATCGTTAAACTTTCGCACTTTAAGACAAATCGGTCAACAGACTGCACTCGCACGCACCTTGGACACACTTGGTATTGATGACTGTTGTGTGTCCGAAACTTGGATTAATGGCCCTCACGGGGTTGTTAAATTAACTGCGCCCGGTTTGTCCTCTCATTATGGGTTACATACATCCGGATACGCTGATGCGGCAACCACTGGTCAAGCTGGATTGAGCATTGTTCTCAGCTCCAAGACTGAGTCCTCGTTGGTTGATTAAGTTCCGTGAACAGCCGTTTGGGTGCAGCCCAATCGACGACATCAACTAGGGTTGATTCACGAAGTAGTACAAAACGCTGTTTGTTTGTGATTTCCGCTTATGCTCCCACCGACTGCAGTTCTAATGCTGTCAAGGACACATTTTATCACGAACTGAACACGCTACTATGTATTGCTACCAGTTCAGATAGTATAATACTTGCAGGGGATATGAACACACAAGTAGGACGTATGAGCTGTTCAGAAGCTCAGTTGGATGGTACTTATGAACTCCGAACCGACTGATAACAGCGAGCGTCTGCTGCAACTGTGTGCGGATTACCAGTTGTTTCTTAGTAACATTGCTTTCAGACACAGTGAATGCCGAAGTGCCACTTGTCGCGCTTATAAGAAACTAAGATTTAAATGTAATCTAAGTGACCATAGATTCCAATTTTAGCCCATTACACCTCTCCTTATAAAGAACAAATGTGGAATGACCGTAAATACCTTTGTTGGACGCGCTGAACACTTTTTTCGCTTTCAAGTCACATTGCTAAACGTAGCGTGTATGCTTTTGTGTGTTGAAATTTCAGAGCTTGGTTTAAACACTCGGTTGATTGTATAATTCTCATCACTGGCGAAAACACGGAAAACAAGAAACATCCGGTACCTATTCACCTGTATGTTGTCTTCCTAAACCGTCTTTGATGAAACCGCTTCCTTTGCATTTTCGCTCTCTCGCTCACATGTTTTGCATCCCATCCCATGGTCACGGCTCACTGTGGGTTTGTTCTTGACTCTTCTTCACTCCAGAGGCCAACACGGCCATCATGGATTTTTCTGGTCGATTTCCGGTTTCCCTGCTGTCCTCCGAGTTACGGGAACAGTTTGAGGGTACGTTTCAGTGTTTGCGTTTTCTTTGCCACCGGTTTATTGTTTTCCTCGCTGAAACCATAATGGTTCATTTGAAATAGCGGACTTTAATGTTTTTGGGACAGGACACTTTGTCAAACAGCTATACCGGTGTAATTCTGCTTTTCTTTTCAAACGGGGATTTATGGTTTCTCAAGACTGCGGTTACACGCGAGTTTGTTGTTCGTTTAGCTCTCAAAGCTGCCACGCTGTTCCTCAGGGAATCATTATACATACCTCTCAGGCTTTTGCCCACAACTCAACTATAAATGGAGCACTTTCTAATGCTCTAACACACTAACAAATGATCACGCACTGTCTAGCCGTCGGGCAAAGTGGCGCGAGCTTCTTCCGCGCAAATATAACCAGGTTTTGGACAGAGACTGATCAAGATAATCCCCTTACAATGCTTTTCTCGCTCGCTGATAGTTGCGATAGACTGTCAGTTAAAATCTCCAATAGTCTACGGAAAGCCTCAACGAATCCCAGACAAAATGAATGGGGATGACATCGAATCTTGTAGCTTCACGGACACTTACGATGACGCACTTGGCTGATAACCACATATTAGATCGTGGAATTTAATTACTTGCTGCTTTACACAATTGCTTCCACATCCTGAATAAAAGGAATGATCGATAACCAGGGTTTAGATGGTCATATCAATGGATTTGCATCTAGGATCGAGATACTGATCAGATCGAAATCAACTGGACTGGATTAGGGCAAACCCAGCGACAAACAAATCCAACTGAATCCACAGTGAAACTGATTTTTTTAAACTACAACCCTTGTGATGTAACAGGGCATATGCTAATGCTAATACTGCTTCTACCTACAATTGTTCATACTAGAAACGCCTCCTGCTTGTCTGAAAATAAACCTAGTTACTTATTTGTTAAAAACTTACCGAATCGAAGCTAACGTTTTAGGCAGCTCTTTCTACGACTTTAGTACTGAAGCATACATTGAGCCTCTTTTTAACGGCATACATTTGTCCCCTTTATTTTCAAACCAGCCCGTCACTCTGTCTCAAACATGCAGTTGCCTACCGCTTTCCCCCGCTGTTCTGCGCTGCTTTAAGCACAGTTACCGTTGCTCAGTATCGTTTCCCTCACATAACCATGATATGGATGAGTAATCCAAGCCTTAGGAGCATTGAGGATTTTGATCACCGTGGTATGCGTTGCGTCACTCTTCGATCCTTCTCTATTGAAGTGTTTCATTTGATCTCTGGGGGTGTTTAGTAGTTCGGCCGTTTGTATTGCAATCTTTACGCCCCAGATACCAACTTCTGCTTGGGTTTATACATCGTTCTAGTGCCTGAGTCCACATGCAACCGTTTGAAAGGCAGCTATACACCGGGCGGAGAAATGAGTGTGCACCTGATGTCCTCAGTCTCCTTTGACTTGGTACTTGACGATAGGCTATCTAGCGCCCCACAGGATTATCGGTTTTACTCGAACCTACTGCGTTGGTCAGTTCGCCTTTCACATGCAGACCGGTCAATCGCTTTAACTCGGATTAACACTATATGCTGTTACCACAACTGTTGGCGTTAATTCCGAGACAGCTAATCTTTAGCTGTACAAAAAGACGCGCAGAATCCACACACTAAACTGATTCGGTTCAGTACATGTCCTCTCACTTTGGGATATTATCATAATGATTTGACGCCCTGTTTGGCGTGACGCAGTTCCCAACTCATCGGTGCTCTTCCATTGTCTCACTTTGTCGGTCCGTGGCCGAGTGATCTGCACGACTGGGTTGCAATCATAAGGTCACCGGTTCGAATTTGCGTATTGGCGGGTGTCCTCGCAGTATGCTCAGCCTAGGCGCTACTGGTGGTGCGAACGTGGTAGCGAAACGCCGTTACGGCGTACAACTGACGACTTTTTATATTTCAACACCTCCGTCCTACGATCTTGACGTCTCCGCAATTTCTGAAACTGACTCTTTTACTTTTTCTCTCATTATTTTCAATAATTATCATTAGTGCAACGTAGCGCAGTGTGCCACGCATTGGTGCTTTAGTCGTGTATTTTTACTTGAACTGAACCGAATCCAGAACATTAGTGAGGCGTACAAGATTGATTGGTCTAAACTAAGCAGCTTGTTACAATAGAGCACTAACAGTTGGGAACCGAAGGCTGAACTGTGGAACGCGACTTATCTACGGCCCCGTTTCCGGACGCTTCCTCTCCTGAAACGGTTGCCGTTGTGTGGGGTTGGCCTCAGGCTGAAGCTTTAAAAAGGCCCCTTTTCCTGATCACTTTATTGGTTGAAACTAACTTGGAAGACTCTTGGAGCTTAGATTATTCACAGTAATCTGGGCTTACTTTCTTCCTCTGTTCGGCACACACTGGCTTGGCTCTTCGGTCAACTAAGTGCTTGCATCCCGCCATCTTCATAAAAAAAGTAGATTGTGAAAATCCACACAAGTTTTAACAATGCGTGCAATAACCTTTTCACTGGTGACTGTCAGAAATGATCCGGATACCTAGATAAGTATAACCTGATCACCAACTTCGATCGGGTGTCCGACTATAGTGAGTAATGTTGGTGTGTTGCCTCAATCCTTCACCGGAGCTGTTCAAACATCGCACATTGCTACAGGCTATGAAATCGCCTTGGGCTTGAACTTGACATATGACCACCTGCCTTTATTAGGGCTATGCACTTCGGAAGTACTAATCACGTACGGATGCGTTTGCTTACATTGCAGCCGCGTGCGAACCAAAGAGGGTTATATTGTCCGCGTCACTAAACAGAACCTCCTGTCCAGGAAATGCAGGTGAATTGGAAGAGAATCATTTATCAGCATTTCAGTCGCAAAGTTGAGGATAAATGATGTGTCACATCAGCTTTACATCCTTCCATCTGTCGTGGGGAGCTCCTGAATGAGTTTCAGGAAGACCCTTTCACCTTCACGGAAGTTGGTGTATGGAGATATTAGAATAAAAGGAGCCTCTCATTCGCGCACTTTAAAGATGGACACAGTCGCAGGCAAGCACAATCAACAGAATTTAAGATAACTTTGTAGTCACGGAGAGCTACTATGATATACTATTTGCAAGTAGGGTATCGTTGAAACACTTGTTTAAGAGTACCAATATGGCTGACCCAATTTCTACTGCGTTCACCTGTTCGTCTCTTTTGGGAAGTTGATGGGCCGCTGTGGTGTGATGCAGATGAGCAATTTTGGGACAGTCCAACAGAAATCAATGCTACGCCCTTCGACCCTTTTTAGAAATTCGAATAGTTGTTGACAGCCGCTGACCAAATTTTATCAAGCAGAACAGTCAGAGTAGTTATTTGTAAGTCTCCACTGTGCCACAGTAGCGGTGCAAGGAGGTCATCTGGGTCCGACGTGTTTCTTCTCTTCAGTAGCGTCAGAAATTCCGCTATACTGAACCTACAACCTCGCCCTTCTAATTGCTCAAATCTGCATGACTCAGAATAGACCAGTTGTTTGTTCTGTTCACTTATTATTTCACAGGATTATTTCCTTTACCCATATCTCAGCTAGAATCAATACTCCGGTGTACTTCATGATACCAGATCACAGTGGTCTTCGCTACCCACCAACTCTACCTGTCAATTCTGCGAGTCTTAGTGAGATGATGCTTCAGGGTACTTGAACACCTTTAAACTTTTATCCCGCTGGTACTGTTATTTCCGTTTCAGTCGGGTTAATCGAAGTTGTAGAGCTTAACCTACTTCTCACAAACACTGAAAAATAAAACGGAGACCGTATCTGCATGATCACCAATCATTGCTATGTCCAGTCTGATTCAAGCTTCGAAGGCGGTTGCATACTGCACCTGGCACAGCGCAGTGGATCCCGGACGTGCCTCACGACGTCGACTCCTGATTTGACTTGGTGACAATGTGCCTACTTCGCGCTTAAATGTGACTCATTGGTGTTATTATTCTTCTGCTTTACATTCGTCGGGTTTTCGCCGCACTTGGTACCTAGCCATCCGGCTTGATCGTGTCATCTCTCCGTTTTCTAAGTTGTCCATCATACAAAATGAGACTGGAACTTAACGTGGTCGGTAGTTTGCGTAACTTTTTATCCCATTAATCAATGCTGGTTAGTGCCCCTGAACCCCTTGAGAGCTACTCCCACCACATCCGTCAATGACTTGCTGTCGGCGCCATTGGCATGTCTCGTCGTCGTCGTCGTCGTCGTCTAGTCTGACTGCCTGTTTAAAGTGTGTTTGGTGCTGTCTTATCTGCGGGGCAATGGCTGATTATGACGCGGAGCAGTGAAAGTCACTGTCTCATGGATATCGCCTTTGTTTTATACGATAGTCAGTTGCCTTTGGATGCTGTGTTCTTGACGAGATGTAGGCGTCTTAACTCTGTTTGTTTAGGGCACTAACGTTTTACTCTAGATCACTGTTCTCTCTCTCTGTTATTATTGTTTGTTCATTAAATCATTGTGTTTACATATGTTCAAATGGCTCGTGCACTACTATTGATGAAGATTTAGAAATATTGTGGATAGTCTATGTATTTCACAGTTTTATCTACACATTCGTTATCATTTATTCGCTTTTTCGCTATATTGCGGTTATCTTACTCTACAAACTTTATCTTGTGGAGTCGAGGTGAGATGCTGGTAGCTCTGGTTGGGTGTTCATTCGTTCTGGTATTAACGAAGCTTGATAATTTGACTCTGCAGCTTTTCGTCATTAGTCGGGATGATATCATGGGTGTGTCAAGTTGGCGATTACATCGCAGACGCTGGTGGAAGGTTAACTCGTGTATGGGAGTCACTGGCCACTTCTCCGTTCCTCAAGTAGACCTTTGGTTTATCGTTCCTTCGTCGTTTCTTCCTCTAGTTGAACCCTAATCTGACCATACTATGTGACGATGGAATACCAATTCGCACTGCCAGAAGCCTGGCATCGCTTGCATCGTTAATCTACTTCTGCCTGAGCTCTCCTAGTTGCATTCATGGTCCCCTTGGACAC